TGGATTTTCGGAGTCTTTTAATTACCGCGATTATTATCGCGCTATGGAATACTAATTAATTCCGGCTTGGCCGAGCGTGAGAGGCTGCGAGCGCCGAAGTTTGCCGCCGCGCGCGAGAAAAATTATGCGAGACGCTTTTGCCGCCCTACCTGCGACTTCTCGAGAGAACGCAACGGGAATTTCGCGGGGCGACGCACGAACGTTCGACGTCGAGCACGATGGCTGGAATAAAACAACGCAATTTTAGACGAGTACGCGCGAGTCACCCCGTCGTACCCAACGAGTTCCTTCTAATTGATTTCTTCAAAGGAACGGGGGTAGGGTAGGTCCAACAAAATATCTATGAGCGACAAACCTGAATGATGAAAAGTCGACTGAACTTTTCGGCATCTCTGGCCAAATTTTATTTATAAATTGACAGAAGAATTCTGTAACGATGGAACGGAAGGTTCTTCCTACAATTTTATTATCGTCGAAGACAAGTTGTGCAAATTGATCCTACACGTGTGGTGTCTTTTGCATGAAAATCGCATGAGTAGCGTCGGTGATAATTTATTTTACTACGTCGTTAAATATTAATAAATAATTTACTCGGTTAGAGAGATTTTCTCGTATCCTCTCTTCATCATTTTCCGCGCAAATTCCTTAGCGGCTGCGGCCGCGGTGTAAGGGATTAAGATTCTCGGACTTCTCACATGGTTCCCTGCCTGCTATTCACGAATGATTTTCTTTGTCCGTTAAAGTTTATACTGGCGAATTCCGTTGTACAACTATACTCCGGTGTGCACATATAAATTATTGTAAAAGGGCAACTGTATATTAGATGTATAATTAATCAATTTTCCTATGTATATATATTCTTATGTAGCAATAAAAATTTCGATAGCTACTGAGACGTAAAAAAAAGACGAAAATCTTCATTCAAAGGCAAGTGACTTGTTAACTATTATTTTGTAATTATTGTACGTGGACCAAGTCCGCCGTTGTGTACGTGAAAAAAAATACGAGAAAAATATATATATAAAATATAAAAAAATAAATATATATATGTGATATATATATATATACATATATATATATATATATATATATATATAAGGTGATTTTGGAAAGATCAATAGTGACAATATTACCATATTATAAATGTTCCATTTTCCAAAGAATTTTCAGCGTGTGATACTATTACCGGTCTATAAATGTTCCATTTTTTAAATAATTCCAGTGTGTGCAGTGTGTGTGCCCATATTCTTACACATGTATCTCACCGTTATCGAGACAATAGACGCATTTCACCCTTTAAGTTACCAGAGATCAGTATCCGGAAAAGAGGAATAAAAGTGGAATTAAATTCTTGTACAAAAACGGAAAAACATAACTGTAATCTGTGTATAGGTTGGCCCATTGAGTATCCGACGCAAGGACACAAAGAAAAATAACCTGCTAGAGGGCTTATATGCCGTTTTGATCCTATCTCAAGATTCCGACAGAATAGTGTAGCAGGCATAATATACAAATTTCTGCAAGTATACGTTAAAAATATGCCGCGAGAAGAAATATAATATATTCGTACGTTATTTTCGCGCTGCAATACATTACCACTTGTGATATAATGAGATATTTTATCAATTTTTTCGTCAATTATTAAAATAGAATTACAAAAGCACGAAGAATATTTTGTCTTTTCTCGATTTAATTTTGTATTCACGGAGGCATATTAATATTTCTAATTTTCCTAAAACTCTCTTTTTGTCGCCGCCATCGTTGCAAATTTAAGTGCATAATTTTTAAACGCAAGCGTGTAATTTTGCTGGGGCTTGATTCTTGACAATATGCAAATGAGATACGCATGCGAAAATGTATAGTTCACATTACGCATACTGTAGATTTTCGCATGCGTATTTTATTCGTACACCGTCAAAAATCGGCCCCCTGGGGCTGTTCTTATACGTTCCTTGCATTTTTAAATCATGTCATTTAACACGTTTAAGGCGTGTAAATTCTCATTTAATACGATCAAACGTGTTAAATCACTTAGGGCCGATTTTTCAATAGCAGTTTGAACATAAAAAGTTTAAACTCTATTCTAACAATGCGTTTGTTTCGTTTAAGCAGAACTTAAGTTGAAATCTAAGTTTAAACTATCATTGAAAAACCGGCTCTTAGAATAGTAAGAAATATGTAAAAAGAGGTTCAGTCAACATAACACACTTGAACTTGTAGTGATGCGCATATGACCGCGTTAAAGTGGTTTCTTTCGACAGTTGGTATCCGCATTTAGGCAAATTTTGACATGAAGTTGGACTAAACCTACATCTGTCCCACACACAAATCAGTATTAGTGCGTTCCCATATTTTTAAAATTTGTTATATTAGAAACGTCCAATCGAACGCATCGTGTACAATGCGGATCCGTGCAGAAGCTGGCGAAGAGAATCGCCCCTGTGATTCGAAATTTCCTTATACTGCGTCTCGCATCTCCGTTCAAAAGCGCTTTCATGTCATTAAGAACCATCCGGCGAAAGGGAATTTGTTAACAATACGAATCCCCCGCCTTTGCAATTGTTTGTGCAATAAGCGGCTTACGCGCGGACTCCGGAAGATATTACTGTGCGTGTATTTATAATTCTCGCTAATTTTCATCAACTTTTAATGTTCTTACGAATATTGTGAGTCAAGGCGCATTATAAAGAAGTATCGTACCGATGACTTTCTTTGTTGCGAGAACAGTGCTGACGTCACGTACTACAGGTAGCAAAACGTCGACGATATAGCTTGTGTAGTGTTTGAGAAAATGTCACCCGCGGGCTTGCGTACCATTCATGGAATTTTATTTAGCCCTAAATAGCGCAACGCCATGTATTAAAATAATCGCCCTTTAAGACGTATCGCAGCATAACTGCGACATTTACGTGTCAATCGATATTTTTATTTTAAGTGTATCTTTATCATCGATTACTAATACGTATGCCCGACAACAATGTTATTCAACTAATTGTAGTGTGGTGGTCACATTGAGAGATATTCAACAGAGGCCACGAGCACGAATAAGAATTAACAAGTAGCCAAATATTTCCGCTACTGGCCCAAGTCTTTTCAGATTTTTGGTACCTAAGTCTTTCAAGTATTTTTCGAGCAGTCAAATACACTGCAAATTCAGGTGTACTATTTATAAACGTATAAACGTGTAATTTGACCGAAGTTCTTTTTACATGTATCTTACCGTTGCAGGTTATTTTCCTTTCGAACACGAATAAGAATTAACAATTCGAAGTAGTCAAATATTTCAACCGGTCCAAGTCTTTTCAGATTCTGGTACCTAAGTTTTTCAGATGTTCTTCGAGCAGTCAAATATATTGCAAATTCGGGTGTGTTATTTTTAAATATATAAACGTGTAATTTGGCTGAAGTTCTTTTTATATGTATCTTAATTTTAAATTACGTCATTTAATACGTTTAAAATAAATTATAATTATAATTTAAATTATAATTATAATTTATATACAATTATAATTATAATTATAATTATAATTTATATAATTATGTAAGTATTCCCTTATTCATTTTTGGTACTTAAAAAAAGGCACAATTGGCGCCAAAAGTGGATACGTTGAGAAAAAATTGTTTGGTATTTTTAATTATAATCGTATAGGGAAAGATTTATGGTCAAGAGAACCATTTTTATAGCAAGTGTTATTATAATATTAGCGATAATAACTTTCCGTGCATGTTGCTACTTTTTTGTTGAATGAAGAAAAATAATTGCGATCGAAAATAACTATAATTTTCGAAACTTTAACCATTTTTTTCTCTCAATGTATAATTTTAAGGAGACTTTAACCATTCTTTGCTCTCATTGTAGCCTTGTTGGAGTAATTTCCGTAGCTGAATAATGTCGAGTAATACCTGGGTGGTCACACAGGGTAGTACCCGTGATCGGTACAGAAATACCCGGTTCATATCGACAGCACTAATAAGAATACGCGCTGAGTGATCGCGTGAGCGACGTTATTTTCCTACACATCGACGTCGTCCCTCTCTCGGCATATTGAAGATATTTTTCTTCCAAACCGGTGGACGCTGTTGAACTTATACGATTATCAACGTGCGAGAGGGATCTTATGGATATATTGGAACAAACGCTCCTCTCGACTACCTGCTCACACTTGAAACCCTTTTCCGCTCTGCCGGACGGTTTAACATCGGGGCAGTCTTACCCCACATACGTGGTGTCGCAATACAATATTCGCACTTACCGTCTATAATTGAACTAACAGCGAAAACTCGGCTCGACTCACGCGAGCTCGGCGCGCGAAGGTCCGGCGAATTAGATCGCGACGGCACGGCGGTCGCACCTGTCGCTGGGCTCTCCGAATGGCTACGTCAACGGAGATCATTGGTCTCAAGCAATTATAAGCGGGACTTAATTAAACGGTCGTTAGACTCCTTTCGGCGGTGCGCTTCTCGAGGCAAGAAGCGTCGCCCGAAAAGCGATCAGGCCTCCGCGCGGAGTGCACAGGCAAGTGTCCAGTTGTTAAGCTCCGTCGAAGATTTCAATATGTAAGGTAAGAAAATGCGGCCGAGCGCAAGATATAACTTGAAGACGAGGGTGCTCACACACAGGTACCCGATACGCCGAGGTAGAGCGGTCAGGTATAGCAGGCTAATCACTTTGTGCAACGTAGTATCCTCGCCGGGAAAAATATCAACAATGTGAGGTACAATGGCGAGATGGCGGGACATGTGCAACACGCTCTCTCGTGAAATGAGTGAAACACGTTCGACGAATCGCTGCGCCGGAAGGACTCGGAACGTACAGCAAAACGTTGGACATGCCGGCGAGACAAAGAGAGAGACAGAGACAGAGAGAGAGAGAGAGAGAGAGAGAGGGAGAGAGGGAAGCGAAGGAGGGTCCGACTAGCTGGGCTGGTACCCACCCAGCTGGAGGTGGCATAAGGAGGTGGGACTCTTCGCCTCATTCTCTCCACTTTCAGTGGCAAGTCCGAAGAAGCAGTTACAACGCGACTGTTCTGAGAGTCAGGACGTCCGCCGGCCGCGCTCCACCGTACACCTGTCCGTCGCGTAGTTACGTGCGTGCGTGCGCGCATACCTCGCGTAAGTATACACACGCGCATACAATTACGCGTACACGCACACACTCACATACACGAATGCAGTAGAACCGCGTGTACTACGCGTCACGTCAGGGTGATCAACGTGCGTCGCGCTGACCACCTGCGGAATTCCGCGCGCCGGTATCGCGGCGCTGCGCCTGCGGTTTGTGAGGAGTTGCACGGTCTCTGTTGTGTTGTTCGCACACGTGTGGCAAGAGTAGGGAGAAAGAGGAATTGAGAGAGAAAGAGAGAGAGAGAGAGAGAGAGAGGGAGGAAGGGGGCAGATAAAGAGATAGAGTGCGTGATAATCGAGAAGGAATCGAGTCGCATGAGGAGACGATGACGACGTGATGAGGGCAAAGTGAGCGTGGTCGCCGATAGTCTTCGCCCTGCCGACGATCCCGAGGACACCGGCTCATAGTATCCCGACTGTGGACGCATGCGTACGCGCTACGTTTTGTCATTTCGTGATTTGTCTTGCGTGTGTGATAATTGCTCGGCCGCGATACACCGCGCGATAACATTCTCCGGGATCCTCAGGGTCTCGTTACACGCTGCGACGATGGTGTCTTGTCGGGAGTTCGCGGATACCTTGAGTCCGGAGTCTTGAGTCTGGGCTGTGTCTTCGGACGGATGTTTCACCTTGAACCTGAAGTGTCTTCTGGGACCCGGAATCCACTCCGGACAGCTTTGACTCCTCGTTCATCTTCATCGGTCTCCTCTCGTCGATTTCTTCCTCCGCGTATCTTGGGCGCGTTCTTACCCTTGCCGCGCGGATCCGATCGGCTTGATACAAACTCTGCTCGCCGGTGCTCGTAAGACCGAGGAAGTGCGAATCGAAGTGATCCGCTTGGAAGGGAATCGCCGACGAGGAAGGTGGAATCGACGTTCTATCCGCCAAGAGAGCGGGCAAGAGTCTCACGTAGTACAGGTATTTCTTGCATTAGGATTGAATCCATAAATCCTGAGGGATTCGATCGAGTGCGACCGAGGTGGCTGATCGTCGCGTAGATGATGGCGACCGGAAGTATTTTGGGTGTTAGGTGCTGAAACTGCTTTCAATGGTGTTCTGAGATGTTTTATAGTAATCGTAAACATGAATTGTTCACGTAGTTAGTGATTAGATACTAACACCATCTACAGAGTGTACATTCAAACTATCTGCTGGATAATATCCACGAAAAGTTAACTGCACTTTTTGGGAAAAAGACGAATTAATAACTTAAACGATTGTTGATGTACGCGACTAACAGCAGGTGTGCGATTCGAAGTGTTAATCGCAAATGAATCTGATTGATGAAATGGTGATGCACGCACGGAGTAAATGCAAACCTGTTGAAATTAATGTAAAGTTATCATCACGGTTTTTAAAACTTTCAATTTTGATTTCTTTAGAATTATTTCTCGAACAGAGCAGACACAAATTTTCGGTCAGATTATTTCAATTTGTAAACATCGTGCAAACATTATTTGGCGCGCAATTGCCCGCCATTGGAAGGCAGCCATTTTCAACTCTAAAATTTTGAACTTTTCAATGTTCATGTTTGTATAATTAACAAATGAAACAGAAAGACGTTCCTCTTTATTACCTATATTCAGTACTTAGGAAATCGTCGAAATTTAGATCGAAATCTTGTTATTACGCGCGTACACCCCAACATCACAGATGATAGATGATAAGTGTCTCCCGATGGCGCATAGTCGTGCGCAAAACACGATGTTTGCACGGTGCAAATTGAAATGAGCTGACCGAAAATTGATGTGCCTTGCTGGAAGAATAATTCCGAAGAAACTGCCATCAATGAAAACGCGCGAATTCGCGCGTTGGATTTGTGTAGAATTCGGTACAGTTCAGTGCGAAGAGACACCACTCTCTCGTCCAGCCGTCGGTGTAACGTTGCATAACATCGCGCGTGTCGACGACATTGTTAATAAATCGACGCGTGCACGTTCGCGATATTGCCCTGCGAAACTCGAAATCAATGTTGGCAATGTGCAGTCGATTATTCGCCGACAGCTCGAACTTTGTAAAGTCAGCACAAGATGGTTACGGAGCGCTTTCTACCTGTTTCTTTCACAAAGAAGCACGCCAAGAAGAGATTCACTCCTTGGGACGTTTTGAGATGACCGTGACTTTGTAGTGAGTTTATGGTGTAATGAATTTGGACTTATGACGAAACGTGCCCTCGTCAGTTCTGATAGCGGAGATAAAATGACAGTGATGATTCGTGAATTTTGCGAAAGAATGTCTTGGTTTGCGCAACATCCTCTACCCCTTAAAAAAGTTTTTATATCGAATACTTTTAAGTCGCTCATAAACGCCGAGAACGTTGTATAAAGGTGCAAAGAGACCATGTAGACCAATAAACCAAGTTTCTGTAATTTTTCTTTAGTAATAAAATTTCATAAAAAATTTAAGTTTACATCAGTATATCCATCTATTTAACTTCGCACAGCTAATGTGTGCCTCTTTTTGCTTACATCTATTCTCTTTTCTATTTCTCTTTTCTATTTACATTCTTAGGTCGCCTAAGACTCTATGGTCCGGAATATGTAATTGTTACATTTGAAATGAGCTGTTTATAGCCGTATACATAGTCTCATAGGTTATTATTGTGTACGCGAATATTTTGTTCTAGAGATTCTCAACTGCCGTGATGTATATGTGGTGAATCGCTGTCGCTCGCTCTTTGTTCGAACTCTTAGCAACTTTGTATCGTTTCGAAACTGTTAAAATCGGGGATACGATTGCAGACTCCATTTTGGAATATCGCTCCTTTACGTGAATGTGTGAGTAACTTTGGTGAAAAAGCTCAATTCTTACAATAAAGGAGTACGAGAATATCTGTCTTCAAACGTGAACCCTAAACATAAATCTAAACCTGACAGAACGACTTGACTCAAATACCTGAGTAGTCCCCAAGTTCTTTTTCAGGACCGTAACAAAATCCAGTTTTATCATGCGGTTATTAGACACCACGGGGCACAACGAAATAACACACGGTCGTCGCGACAAATATACGTGCATAGATTCTAAGTTGAAATATTAATCGACGAACACATCAGGTGCAAGCCGCGAATGCGCGCGCGCAAACGCAGAAAAAAGAATTCCTGACGGCTCTCTCGAACGGTGTGTCGAACTTTTCGCCACCGTTGATACCCCCGAAGAACCGCGCGGCGATTTCGCGGATACAGAGAAGGTTAGGCCGTGCGCGCGCGCGGCACGGTAAACGGGGGGGAGGAGGGTGACGGGTTAGGGCAACAAGAAGCGGCGCGTCTCGCATCGGAACAAGCGGCTCTCCCCAAAGTAGAAAGCAAGGAAAGGGGTAGTTCGCGGTCCGCGAGCGTTGGTTGGAGCGGCGCGGGACAAGCGTCGGGGGTGGCGTAGAGGAGAGAGCGAGAGAGGGCGAGCGCGAGTTGTGCGCGCGAGGATGGAACAGGACGGTGGTGGGACGGGTGAGGAGGGGGGGGGAAGGCAAAGTGACGGAGGAGAAAACCAAAGGGAGAGTGGGGCAACGTGGGAGGGTGGTTCGTGCACGAGGGAGCGAGGGAAAGAGAGAGACAGAACGCGAGCGAGAGAAGGAGAAAGAGAGATGGAGGGGGAGAACGAATGAGTGAGTGAGTGAGAGAAAGAGAAAGAGAGAGAGAGAGAAAGAGAGGGAGAAGGGCGAAAGAGTGAGAGGGAGGGAGGGAAGACGACGGGTTAACTGGCGAGCGAGTGAGCGCCTTGCGGAGAAAGAGGCACACACACCGACTGCTTGAGGTTGGCGGGGCGAGGGTGAGGTTTAAGGAGCGAGAGGGGCGGAGATCTTAGGAGGGGCGCCTAACGTCACGGCGCATTCACTCACCGGCCGTCGCCGACGCCGCTCTGTATGCTGCACACGCAGCCCGCACGATACGGTCAGTTCTCTCTCGGCTACCCCCTCGTGTGCCGCACACACGCGTGCGTTCTTCCGGCTGTGTGTTGTCACCCCCGCGTGTTGTCTACCGCCGCAGAAACGCGCGCGAACCCCCGCGTGTCCCGTCGCTCGTCGGCTCGCCTCGTACGTGGCGGGTTTCCTCCGGTGTTTCGTAAAGCGACTTCGGGAAAGCCGAAAGCCAGTGTTTACCCGCACCGTGTTTACTGGAGGTACACGCGGCGACTGCAGCAGCGCGGGAACTCGCCCACAAGTGTCGCGTGACGCGTTTCCTGTCAGTTTGGTGCGGTGTTTGCCGAAACGTGCTCGTATACATTTAAATACCCACGCACTCACACACACACACATACACACGACACACACGAGCGCGTGGGGGTTCTGCACATTGTGCACACGCGTGCACCGCGTGCCCCTGCGAGGAGTGCGACTTTTTGAGCGGCGCTTCCCGAAAGAAATCGTCGCCGGTGCGTTTGTTCGTGCGCTTTTGTGAGCCGCATTGTCTCGTCGAGTTATACGGTGGGTGATAGTGAGGAATCAGCTGATCGCTTAAAGGGACCACGTTCTCTTCCTCTCTCTCTCTCTCTGTCTGTTTGTCTGTCTGTCTGTCTGTCTGTCTGTCTGTCTGTCTGTCTTTTCTGGTGCACTTCCCCATTTTTCTCTTTCTTCTTGTGTCGAAGAATAGAACCTCTTACAAGGTCCAATCTAATCATTCTTTATACGTAGATCGAATATCGCTGTTCACGTTCAGTGTAATATTATTCGACGACTCGCGTTTTGTTTGTTACGTTATTTATTGTTTTTTCGCTTACAATTATGACTGGAAAGTGCGTATACGCCGGTGCGTATGCGAGAAAGTTTTCTCCATTTTCTTTTCCTCCATTTTCTTTGGGCGCGGAACGCATTAGGTACGCATTTTGTGTCACACATCACACACATAAACATACACATATGAACACAGGTTTGCACGATGGCGACAGCCCACGTGGCACAGCTTCTTTGAAGCCGCTCAGTCTTCCCGCGCGAAATTCTGCTTGCCACGAGCAGGGTGTGGTCACGTGACAATCTCAGTCCTTTGCAATCCGGA